ATATAATTATATGTAATTAATTAAGATGTTAAGATCGAAACAATTCAGCTTTAATTGAATTTATACTCTTCGCCTACCTGTTCTAAAAGAGGTATTTGTCTGTAACAGCTTAATTGGCAAAGAATGTCTTTTTCTCGGTCTAGGTTTTTTTTTTTAATATTAAAAGCTTAGGCCTAATAGGCCTATATGCACTGCCTGTCATAAGCTAAAAAGTGAAAAATCTAATCCTATATTTGAATTGCTTAACATACATATTTAATTAAGTTATTAACTTACAATTAGAAATAGACAGTTAAGTAGTACGGTACCGTACCTTTTCTGTATTCTTAGTGCGTAAACAATTACCGTAAATTGGCTGGTAATCGATTTAACACTATTTTATTTTTATCTGTTTCTGGTTGGAAGTTAATAACTTAGGCCTATTCGATCCTTTTAAATGAGCTATAGGCCTACAGTACAAAGTACCGTAAACAATGCAAGTATAATTATTAGGCCTAGGCCTATGTACAATTGTTGTTGTTTTTCTTTATTGCGTCAAACCGATGAATCTTCCTTACCCATGTCATGCATCGGTACTAAACTTTTTAATAGGCCTATTAGCACAAATTCATTGCTCATAACCTAACCCTTAGGCCTATATTACCAAGTGTTTCCAAAAGAATGAAAGAGAAAAAATGCGAAAGAAAAGCAGAGGAAAATAAAGTAAAAAAAAAAGGAAAGGAAAGAAAAGAATGAAAAGGAAAGAAAGGCAGAAAAAAAAGTAAAAAGAGATGAGCATAAAAAGAAGAAGAAGAATCACTTGCCTCGGAATAACATGCTAGATAGATGGCGCATTATAAATGTTGTATCATTATTATATTTCCATTTGTGCTCTCTGGTTTATTTCCTTACATGACATTTAGTTACACGACAAATGCAGTGAAGCATCTAATTAAGTAGGCCTAAATTATTTTAAAAAACACCGACATGGTTCGACATGACTCATATGATCATCAGGTGATAATGAAGTTTGTACAGGCTTAAGCCATGCTTAGGCATACTTAGGTCAAACAGACCTATACAGGTGTTTGCAAATATAATCTAGGCTAAATCGACGCTTGTAGGATGTAGTAAACGGCTTCTCTTAAGTTGGTAGTAAACTATATTAACCGAATATACTACCGGAATTTAAACAAATCCGCGTAGATGACTTTCTGAATGGGTTTTTTATTTTTTTATTTTATAGTTTCGGGGGTGTTGATAAAATAATAAAGAGGAAATGCTCATTTGCCCATGTTGCTAAAAATGTCTGTGGTTTCAGCATGCCAACAGGATTATACCGTTGGGAGTTAACCCCGCGCAAAAAAAGTTTACCTATTTAATAGTTCCTATAAAGCCTAAGTAGTCTTGGTTTATCGTTGACTAAAAGTACGACCAACTACTGGTATTTTTGCAAAGACACTTTAAAGTTTGATTTTAATAAAGGTTAGATCTTAAAATGACCGATTCTTGCAATAACAACGTTGACACATTTAACATGAGGTTGCCGCCATACAGATCTATTACTTTTTTTATATTCTAGTTTTCGGGCCAATGCATATAATCGGGACTTACGCGTCGAGGGCACGCGAGCATAATTCTAAAAACAATAGGGCTACAAACGATTTAAAGGATTAATCCTAAGCTAATTGTTGTTAGTAAAAATCGTCTGCCAGTCTTGTGATGCAAATAAGCTGGCAGAACCCCGCCTCACCTTTGTGTTAATTTGCATTGTTTTATCCCCTAAAAAATAAGTTGTTCTAGACTGGTACCCGTCTGTTCTCCCAAAGGAGTACATTCTGGCTTTCCATTGGCCGAACCTTTGTTTTGGAGGGAGCTGTAACAATTAGTTATTTCAGTTTTATTCAATTCATCAACAATAGACCCTCAAAATCTCCACGGCAGGTGCTGGACCCACTTGGGTACCCCAGCTGACTATACATGGTAGAGGACAAACAATGCGTGTATGCACATAAAGCCACGCGACCAACAAAAGGTGTACTGCATGCCCTTCTTTGCTAAAAAAAAAAATTACAAACATAAAAAAGATCTATCAAAACATGAAAAAAAAAACACCATTTCATATCGTTACATTTTGTGAGGTATTTTATTTTTCATTCTTACGTTTGGCCCACTAAAGAGTACAACAGAATAGGTAGAAACATTGGCCATTAATCTCTGTTTGCGGAAGTGCTTGGTAGCTATTACGATGCTTTGTTCCTCTCCAGCAGGCCACGCGACTTATTTGATATGCTAATGAGCATTCCAGTATAAATACTCAGTCACTCATTGAAATCGGCAGTCTTATATGAAAAGCGAATAACAACCAACGTGCCGATCTTTCAAGAAATCCTATTTCTATGTACATTACTGACAACATCTAATAAGGCATAAAGGATTCGAATATTTCTGGATTATATACTATAGGACATTATATATTTGCATGCATTATTTCCACTGTGTTTGAAAGGAATTGTTCAACAGCAGGATTTTGTAAGTCCGCCCTCTCTAGTTTTATCCAGTTAGCTCCTCCCCCCATTTGTGACATCATATTCTGTGAAATGATTTCGTATAAGGCCCTCGGATCTCCACAGAACTGAACAGTCAATTTGGAAGTGTTTGGAATTATACATCGCAGACGTAACGCAAAATTTGGTGAAACGTTCCGCCTATACGGCGTTGTTTTGTCACCATGGCTTGCGTTCGTCCATCATGGAGTTTTACTTTTATTACGGCCATCCATATTTTGTTGAATTTATCTAAGGTGCGTATAAAGTCTGCAACATTGTTTATTATTTTTAAATAATGATACCGGTTACGATACCGGTATATAATGTGGCTATGTATATTAAGTTGAGTTGGTATATTATTAACTTATTTATATTGATTATGCATTTTACATTGTTTTGGTCAGTTTATTATATAAATTAATCTCTTGTTGCATTTCAGGTCTGTTCGAATAGTTACTTCGAAATTAAAATTAATTCTTTTTCAAATGACGCCAAAGTGGACATTATTGGACAATGTTGTACTGGAGGATTTTCTGTTGATACCAACCAATGTAATTCATCAGTTTGCAGGACTTTTTTTCAAATTTGTCTTACAAATTTCCAAGTGGACATACCGAAATCACCCGAGTGCACATTCGGGCGTCAAGTTACGCCTGTCATCGGGCAAAATACTTTCAATGATTCGTTTGAAAATGGATTTGAGAACCCTATTAGGATACCAATGGAATTTGTCTGGCCGGTGAGTTGAAGCTAAATGCCATTTAGCAGCTATATGCGCACGTTTTGATAGTCCCTACTTCTTTCTACCATTCGGGGAAGTTAATTATTAGCTATGTGTATCTCATTGTTAAAATCTATCGCTGCTGTGTGTAGATAGCTGTATTATTATACTGTTTTCATCATGTTATGTTATCGTTATATATCCATTGTGTATGAAGGTAATTAAAATATTAAATATTTGTATTCATTTAGGGTGATTTTTCGTTGATAATAGAAGCAATGCATGATGTGACGGGGATGCATGTCGAAGAAGGTAAATATATTCATTAGTTATAATGAAACTAAACAAAAAAACGCATAATTTTTTTTTCAAAATTAAAACAATATATAGGAAGCATTAGTTATTGGTGTCTGATCATTATAATATCAAAACCAGGATCGATGGCTGTTGTTCTCAAGCCAGTAGCTGGTACTCTACTTATTCTTCTTAAGAGAATAGGTTCTATTATGGGTGATTGATGCTATTGTGTTAAAATGTCTTTTGTTAGGTATACAGTCCAGCTGCTAAGAAATTCTGTTTACCTAGGCTATTCATGGTCTAGGCCTCTCAATGCAACAGATATTGATTGCCAGTTTGTCGCGTGTCCCCCTGCAAATAAGATGCACACACGTATAAAATTTATATTAGGCCATATACATTTACATAAAAAAAACCGTTATAATATAGTACTTGTAGTATAGTCCGATTTTATGTTATGTTTGCAAACAAAATACATGTATGCCTACACACATTTTGTGTGCTGGAGAACTTGTTGGGTTAATTATTTCGTATGAATGACCGTCGAATGTACCACCAGCTGGTCTACTTTTCAAAAGTGCCCGGGGCTATCGCTCTTCGTACGCCATCGGTTTTAAAATATCCTTTGGAATAAACAGCACACTTGTACAATAACAGACTTTCCTGTGTGGGAAATGACTATTATATTGTAATATAATGTTTTCTTTACTTTTAGGTTCCGAAAGAAAGTTGTTATCGCAATTAGCAATGACTGATGCTATTGAAGCGTCGACTACGTGGACAAACAAAACGCACCGAGATCAAAACCATACTCTGGAATTTTCTTATCGTGTAGTTTGCAAGGCAAATAGATTCGGGCCTGTATGTGCTAAGGAGTGTACACCAAGGGACGATTACTTTTCTCATTACACATGCGACTCTGATGGGAATAAAGTTTGCTTGGACGGATGGACTGGGCAAAGATGTGTCGTTCGTAAGTTTCTTTCGTGCTTGGTACAGTGCTTTTAATTTAAAGTTCAAAAAGGGTACGGTACATGACGAACGAACAATGATTATGCATTATAACGGTACTTTTCTTTAATTTTAGCTGTCTGTGAAGGATGCGAGCATGGCAACTGTATTACTCCTAATCAGTGTTCCTGTCAGGAAGGATGGAAAGGCGAGAACTGTAACGAATGCATCACTCACCCTAGCTGCATCAACGGTTACTGTTACTCAGCATTCCAGTGCATCTGCGAGGCCGGTTGGCGAGGAATCTTCTGCAATTTCGGTAAATATACCTTCGATTTTGCGCGTAATTTTATCAAACAAACCGTTGGATTGAGTACTTCCGATTTTAATCAATGTTTTTACCATCACTTTTAACAACTTCCTTCTTTGTTTCCGTCATATAGATGCAACATTTTGTACTGTGAATAATCCATGCAGAAATGGAGGGACGTGCGAACACACTGATAGTGGTAGTGGATACCAGTGTAATTGCCCTGACGGTGTTTCAGGTTCACATTGCGAGATCGTGCAACCAGACAGCTGCGATTGTGAAAATGGCGGCACTTGTCGGGTAAGACATTAATCCTTAAAATAATTATACTATTAATTTGAATACTTTTGAGCTGAATAGTCAACAAAGAATTAATGAGAAAAGAAACTACATCGGTTAAAAAAAGTATCAATTTAAGTCGTCTGTTAAATTGTAAAAAAAACTCGGAAGATATGCATGAACACTGTGTAAATAAAGAACAGTGTAACGATATGCAATGAATATTAAATTTAGTACAGATATCTGATCTTATGGTCTTTGTGAAATGACGTGAAACGGAATGTGAAATCATACAACACTGGTATGGTGCGTGGATGATTAGTTAAGGAAAGAGCATTATTGTTCTCTTGATTTGTAGCTAATTTGACAGTATTCTTGCCCTTTTCAGTATGTTGATGATGGTGTCAAAGCATGTGATTGCCCAACTGGTTTTAGTGGTGATCGGTGTCAAGATGAAGCTACTTGCCCATGTGTTAATGGTGGAACCTGTCAAATGTTTAGTGGTGCTTACCTTTGCCTGTGCCCTGCTGGATATTTTGGTCCTACTTGTGACAACTACAATGATTGTCTGTCTGTGGACATTCCTTGTCAAAACGGTAAGTTTGCAATAAATATAGCATACAGTCTTGTCTTATAGTGAATTATTGCTAGTATTATTAATGTTTTCTGTAGGCCTACTTATTTTAATATTGAAAATTGGATTGTTTTTTAGGAGGCACTTGTCTAGATGGAAAGGACAGTTACTCATGTGGTTGCCCAGCTGGATTCATTGGAGATTATTGCGAGACAAACATTTGTGCTGATAACCCTTGCCAAAATGGAGGAACATGCAATGGCCAAGCAGATGGTATGCGATGCGATTGTCCGATTGGATATAGTGGCACCCACTGCGAGTTTGTTGAAAACAGTTGTTTATTGCTACCTTGTGCTAATGGTGGAATCTGTTTTGATCTTGAGAATGATTTTCAATGTAAATGTCCTCTAGGATTTGAAAGCAAGGACTGCAGCGTGAACATAAATGAATGCGCATCTTCCCCTTGTAAAAATGGAGCTGCATGCAGAGATCTTGTAAATGATTTTGAGTGCGATTGTCCACTGGGGTGGTTCGGAGAACTATGTGATGATTATGTTACAACATTCATAATTTCGACTACATTGCCAAGCGACAAGCCTGCAGCGGAATCAATTAATGTTTCCCCAACAAATGTGCAGAGGAACACTACAAATAATTCACTTATAAGCAATTTAAGGAGAGATGACGAGAGTGGACATACTGCAACAGATTTGAAGCAAGTTCTGATCTATTGTTTTTGTGGACTACTTATTGTGTTGATAATTATTCTTCTTTGTATTATTGTATATAGGAAAAAACGTGTAAATGATGACACTGAAAAAGGACCATGTGATATTGAACAAAATAACCAGAAGGTTTATACAGACAATTTTACGCAGCAGAAAAAAGTACTGCCCTTATCTAGCATAAGTATTAAAGTTTGCAATGAAGAAAATGATAGTTATAGTAAAGGAACAAGCAAACAATTTTCAACAATAAAAGACTATGAAAAGGATATTTATTCACAAAAAGTTTTACAAGAAAATTCAGACTCTTTATCTGAAAAAATATCAAGACATTCATACCAAAAAAAAATTCCTGACAGAAGGAAAAGTGTTGAAGTTTGCCAACCACAAGTTGATAGTTCTACAGTGCAAATAACGTAAGTAAAAGTTTTATTTATTGCCTGTATCTTCACGTTATTTGGCAATATCTAAATATGAAAATTTAAACTAAAACAAAACATTTGGGAATATTTGATTTCAATGTACTTATTATAACTTGTTTTTCATTTTATAGGATTGAAAATCAAGATACGAAAGAAACCAAACCAATAAATATAAGTGAAAATACATCTGTAGAGAAGGAGAAAACTACAAAGGCACAATATTTAGCTACACAGGTAAGTCAAGTTTATGAGTCACTTTGGTACAAGTAATATAAAAGACCCTGGGCCCAGACATATCAAGTACAATATAACCACCTTTTTTAAAGAAAGTCTGTTGTCACTGTTCGTCATTTGAATAGAAGGGTGAAAATTCCCACGCTCTTAAAAGATTGTGCAATTGAGCATTGCGTTTGAGGCATAAACAAGAATAACCCACTGCTGAGTCAACCCAGTGTGTAGTAAAATACCCACATCACTGTTCCCTCCATTACTTTGCAACTTCTGTTTTGTGTGCGTTTATTAATGTGACTTGACATAATAGATGGGCACAATACACTGGGACAGCTGGTAGGCAATTACGTGCATATATCAGCAGTTAGTTAAAGCAATTATGTAAGGTCCAATGGATATTACTGCTTTTAACTAATTCATTCCTAATGAGCAAATGATTATACTCTCAATATTTAACACTTCTTACAGTAAGCCTAATTGAATAAATTATACTGAAAAATCTAAATTTAATTTCTGGTGTATTAAAACTGTACTCATAACACAAACATAAATGAAGAGAATAACACTCTCAAAAGAAAACCCGATTTTTGTTGCATTTACAAAGCAGTGTTTGTTTTGATCTTTGTTTTGATCTTAACTAAGATTAACTGGCCTTGTACAGGAATGGCTATCAGTCCTTTACTTGACCAGCTGTTTCTGGCTTGACAAATATCCCTCTATTATTATACTTGTTATTCATGTTCCTTTTTTTTTATCTTTCTCTAGGTCTAACCAGCTTTGTGTACAAGAGCTTTTGTGAATTTTTTGAGAAGGCAGATGTAGATCCGCTGCTGATAACTCTGTTCTAGCTCTGAAAGTCATTCCCATAGGATAATTTATGCTTTGCCACGGTGCCTTGTTGAATATTGATTCCGTTCCATGTATTTCAACTCCTGGAGTTACTATCTGTATCTGCACAATATTACGGATATAAAAAACAGAATGAGACATTAGAAATAACTTAAGGCAATTGCAAGTTAAACTGCCAAGAAATATGTAATTTTTCTATTGCAATTTGCCACTTCTATTTATTATTAAATTAATTAGATGTTATGTAATGAATTTGTACAAATCTATCAAATTTTTCTCTTGATATTTTATATATTTTTGTGATTTAAAAAAAGCACTGAGCCGCATAGTGTTAAAAAGTACAGATGTAAAGAAATTGTAGGCATTCTATTTCGTTCTACGTTATAAGGACCAAAGTTGGGATTTAATTTTCCAATTGAAAACTGATATTTAAAATATTTAATAATTGTTACAATATTCATTGTAGGAAGGAGAGGGGGAAGGTGGGAGAGGATGAGTGTGAGTATATTTTTTCTGACAAAAACTTAATGATAGCAGATGAGAAAACTTCATCATAGCTAAGAAAAACCTTTTGTATATGCTCTTTTTATTTATAGAAAATAATGTGCATTTTGTATATACACTGAAAAAATGAATTGTTATTCTCAGAATTAAATATGTGCAAGAAATATTTTTGCAAAATGACAAAACATAACAAAGTTTTCCTGTTGATTCCATTTATATTTATTACTTTGGTCACTTTAAAGGGTAATCCATTTTTTCATCATTTTTGAAGAGGTTACAAACTATTTGTTATGAGGTAATTTACTTATTTTCTTTTAAATCTTCCTGTAGAATATGTTCTGCACTTGAAAAATGATGGAAAATGGATAACCCTCCAATAAATATTGCTTCATGATACTACTACTATATTACTATTTCTTACTCTATACTTACCATATAACTACAGTTTTGCTGAAATTCTACATATTTATGAAGACAGAAAGTGGGCATGATATTGCTGTTGATTTTCTGTGTAGTGGATTTGTTTTTGGAAACATGATATGAATGGAAAAGCAAATACAGTACTGAAGAATTTGAAAAAAAAAACCCCATAATTACAAAATAGAAATTTTCACTTGAAAAAGGCCACAAATAGTTTTTGTTGATATTGATAGCCAGGATAGAACCATTACATCTATTGATAATGAAGAAAATATTTTCTTGTTCAAATTTTCCATTGAAAGCTCATAAAATAGTACAAACACAAATTAATTCACCCACTGAATTATATTAGCTTAAAACAAATATTCAATATATTCTGTTTCCATTCATATTCTAATGTTGATGTTGCAGTAAGAAATTGTTGACATTTGAAATTGCAATTTAAAAAATATGAAAATGAAAGTATTTATTACGCACCATTTACCCTGGCCAGGCTATCAAATTATATTTGACTAAAACTGTCGTATGCCTATATATAATCATGATGTGCCTGATATATAGCAAATAAATAGGCATGTCAAATGAAATTTGATAGTTTGAAAAGGGCTTTAAACTACAAATAGCTACCACAACACTAAGATTTTAAATGCATTACAATATCCACAAGTTGAAATGCATGCAATTTAAGCATTGCATTCTGTAAATTAATAGCTCTAGTATAAGGGAGTTTTTCTATTCAAATTTAAAACTTACATTTAAACATCCAAGCCTCTGATTAATTTGATCATATCTTTTAACAAAATGAACATATTTCTGAAGTTAAACCAAACATAAAATGTCATATCATTTCATCTGCCAGGCCATCTTGGACTCATTCAGTTCATATAAACTTCTATATCATCATCTGTTTATTTATTTATTATATATTTAGTACACATAAACAAATAAAATGACTGAGGCTATGTTCTAAACCCCTGTCCAAAATAAATATAGTATAAATCTCAAAACAATTAAAAAATAAAAGATTTTAAAAATAATTAGTTTTATAATTAACCCATTATAAAATTCTCTATGATGGTTGAGAAAGTAGGTAATCAAATGGCTTTATTATTTAGTGTTATGAACTACTGTTTTAGTAAACCTATTTTTTTTTAAACATTTATCTCCAAATACCACATACCAAATACTACAATATTGGCAACATTTTATATTCTACTTGACTAGTGAAATAGATGCTGTGGTAATCCATCTTAAAAATATTTCAAATATCAACAGCATCTTGTACCAATCCAAGAATGTTACAGTCATTACAAATAAACATAGTTTACAAATTGTAAGTGGAATTCTGTATAAAAAGCAAGCAGTAAACCAGATTAAAACTTACTACAAATTACATGATGATGAGATGGCCATGAGTGCAAGATATTTGGTAGTAGATCTGTCCTTGTTTGGACTATTGCTTGTAATTGGTAGCAAATTAATAACACCAGATTGTGATCCATCATTGTCACAACTTTCCTGTTACACAGTTTATGTCACTGGTCAAGCAATGACAGCAGTCACATAAATATATATTTAAAAAATTATGGATGTACAGACTTGCTTTAAATATTTAAACCAATATGGAATAAATATTACTACATACCTCTGTAATACGAATCATGGTGCAAAAGAGAGATAACACCTAAACCGTCTTGGTACTGTAATGCTATTTATAATTAAACAATTCTTCTTGAAGAGGAATCTGTGAGTGGAAAAAAAGTTTCTTTAACCACGATTCGAACCCTGACCTTCAGGGAGTCTAGATGCCTAAACCAGCTGGACCAGTAGAGCTTCACTGGGAATTTGAATCTGATTACAGACAGCTCATTTTTCACACTGTTGCACATGCATTGTTTCACGCAAAAAAATATATTCAAAAATATAAATATACACATATATATTTATGAATACATATGCAATATACAGTATATTATTCAAATTAGGTTTGTTGCGAAGCACCGTAAACACAATATAAACAAATAGATAAACCTAATTTGAATATTATTTACTATGATTTTCAAAGCTGCGACCTATAGCTTTCCTAGCTAACTTTAGCTCCATCATGTGTGAGCGTTTCAGTCAGTTGTATGAGAGAAAATTCCTGGTGGTTAGATCTGCGCATATATTGTAAGGTCTCCTTGGTCTAATGGTATGATACTCAAGTTGCAAATTCCGTCAGAGACAGTTTTTTTCATGGAACTGAAAATAAAGAACTTTTCGTTTTGAAGGGCTATCTTTGATACGATTATAACATCATGTTCTTATTCAAGCACTGTTATAATTATTTATCTATTTAATTTTGAACACTGTATTTTGGCTTAACTTTCGTGTATGTCCCTCTTTGTCTCCCTTGCATGTCTTGTTATATGGACGAGTCTAGGGCTTATATGTTCCTTTATCGATTCCTTTTTCTTGATGTGGTTTTTTGTTTGTTTTTTGACATATATATATATATATAAATAAATAACCATACAGACTAGGAGAAAGGTCATTAACTTATCTTTGCAAATAATTGCTATGAAATACCTGCTTTAGTTCAATGTCTTTATCATAACACATATACCACACAAAACTAAAGAGAGGTAAAGTTAACCTACATATCAGCACAGATTCCTTCACCCAAAATCAAAGAATGTCTTTGTTAAACTGAAGGCAAAGGTATACTACTTGTCACTAAAAATTAACTCCCTACCAATATTTTCCTTTTATTCAAAGAATCTTTGTGGAAAGAACAAGAAGCCAGCCTTATATCTGGTCTCCTTAAGTTATTAATCATTCCAAGTAGCATTCTTCTAATTCTCTGTTGAGGATTTTTGTCGTAAATCAACATCCTATGATCATATTCCAACCAGCTGTGTCCATTCACTGTTCACAATTTTTGATTTTCCTCCAACTGTCTCATCGCAACAAAATTTATTTTCCCCCCAACCAATATTTACTAACAATTTATTTCTTATGCGTTATTCCAGTTTTATTTATCCTCCATGCTTTACCAAAATACATATACCATACAAAACTATAAGAGAAACTCAGTTATTACACATTTCAAAAGATTCTTTGACCCAAAAGGATAAAATGTTTAATATTTAACATATACAGTATATATTTAATATTAATTCTTTTTTTGAATGAATGAAAATTAGTGTGTTTAATATTTAACATACACATTTAATACAGGTATTAGCATTTAATATTTATTTCCTTTTGAAGAGAAAATTAAGACATTTTCTCATCCAGAAAATAAATATATAAAGACATAAGCCTGATAAAAGAAATAATAATAAAGCATTTATATGGTGCTTTTCTATAACTGATCAAAAATAATAAGTAATATAACACAAAATAAATTAATATTAAAGGATATTGAACAACATTATTAAAGACAATGTGTAACATTATTGTTGAAATAGGTTTAGTCTTTATGCTTAAAAAAATGACAGATACAAATTAGTGTACACACATAAACATACACATGCATACAGGCACACATACAGTGAAATGAAAGGCTCAGACTCACACACTTATACACACACATACATACACACACACACATACAGACACACATTGATTCTCATACACTCAAGCCTAGTATACAGTAGGCCTACACAATAGCTCAATCACTTCGCAACCCAATCAGGTTTACACCATCTGCTGTTCTTACACAAAAACACATCCACTTGTAACAAGATGGTGTTGTATACACTAGATTCGCATTGAATACACCGGTGAAAATTTAAGAATCATGCTTGGTAATTAACAATAATCACAATTAATCCAGTTACCGGCATTTCTCACCATCAACAATATTTGGAACACTGAGAAATTCTTATATAGGCCAAACATCTTAAGCATAACATATTGCCTATAGTTAAAATGGAAAGGCAGTTAGTCTTATAGTAAACAAAACACTGTAAAATTATTGTAATTCAAAGACTAGTTTTATTTTATAATACTGCACACTATCTTTTGAGCACACTGTGCTCTTCTTCAAGAAAAAGAAAAAATTATCACCAAAAATGCCTAGAAAACATTCCCCCGGACCCCCTAGGGTGGTGTTATCTCAATCGGCCCCAATTTCGGTCCCCATTTGGGCCACCCCCCACCAATTCGGACATCACTGGATCCGTCCCTGTATAGGGGCATTGAGGAGTGTACTTCAATGTCAAGAATACAAGATGTATTTTGTAAACATTTATTTTTACAATTAAACTGGAAGCTTTTAGATAAATGGGTGAATCAAAACAAAGGTTGTTTCTCGATGCGAACGAAACACATTGTTAGATTCAACAATTATTAGAACCATTAAATTAGTTATGGTGAGTCAAACAATACAAAAAAATGATCTCCCAGTGCTTGTTATATAAAAAGGGTGAGAGCTTGCTGACTTGCCAATGACAGTGGTGGGAATTAAATATGTGAAGCATGACTGACTGCTCAATCAATTTTCCCAGGGTAATGATGCGTAACATTATGATTATTACATATAACCAATATAATATTTTTTTAATGGGACTCTGATAATGTAATTATTTTAATCATAATAATTTGAATGTAATGTCATGTAAAAGGCCAAATATAATATTCAAAATATTTACTAACTGACTCTAAAGAAATATGCATAATACAATTACAAAATATTGCTGAAATAAGACAATGAATATAAAGCTAGACACCTTATTGGCATGAAGTGCTATATAAGTCTAACATATTATTATTGTAAAGTAAAGT